TTGAACTGCCTGATGATAGATCGGAACATCAAAAATACATTTTTGCTACAACGGAATCGTCCCAATACTACCGTGTTTGCGATAGTACATACGACAACTACTTCAATTGGACTTGGACTTACAGGATAGACACTGACTTTCGATGGGGTTACATAAAAATTTATGATATGGACGGACGATTTGTAGGGCCCAAGGAAGAGATGCATTGGCCTGAGGAGATGCCTATACGCGATGAGTTGAAAAAGAAATTGGATAGTAAATCGAAAGGTGCCGCATGGTTTGTCTCGAACTGTCACACACTGGAAAAAAGGGAAATTTTTTATCAAGAAATGGCAATGGAATTAAATAGTCTAAATTATAATTGGAGTGTAGATGTATATGGCGATTGCGGACCGCTTAATTGCACGCGCGAGAACGAGAAGGAGTGTTACAAAATGATTGAAGAAGATTATCACTTCTATTTATCATTCGAGAACTCTTTTGCCGAGGACTATGTGACTGAGAAATTGCTGACTGCCCTCAATCAATTACGCTATACCAGTCGTATATGGTGGTGCTAATTATTCGCGGTAAGTTTTTATAGATTCTAATAAATTTACGTAGCACAAAGTCACGATCTAAAAATTAAAGAAATTTCAAAATATTCATACACAATCGGTGCAAGGTAATGTTTATACCTTATTTAACTTTGGCAGTTCTTATATATCAAATATTATTTTATCTGAATCCTTTAATTTGAAAGTTATTTATCAATTAAAAATATTATCAATACACTCGGAAATTCTGGTAATAAAAAGTATCGTAATTAAATACTATTTGGCCCGCCTGTCCAGTATTTATTTATATGTATTCTAAATAATTCACGATTAGCTAACATTATTGGCAATTACGGTGAAATACAACAGTATGATAATATTGCGGGCACTACCTAATCTTTTAGCTTAACACATGTTATAAACCAATGAACATAAAGAAGAAAGAAATTTATACTGCATGAAGAGATCGCTAACAGCGCAAAACAGCGGTAAGTAAATAAGAAAGAAATGAAGTCCTAATTAAAATTTTGATCAAAACAAATTAGAAGGCGCGTAAACCTTTCAATGGTTTTTCAAAAAGTAATAACGTCCAAATAAACTGTAATTCAATATGAGAAAACTATAATACTGCTTCATGGAATTGTTTAAAACGCACCTTATTTACCAACATATCACGGCCAAATATGAATCCAACTCGCGCACAAACCCATTATCTATAAAGACGGTAAACACATCACATTTGATATATATTAGCTCCCATAAATATCTATTTTATGGCACCATAAATACATCATCTGTGAAAATATCAACTGTCTAACTATCACGGTTTATAAGATACAGCCAGATAATAGATGGACGGACAGAGGACTCTTAGCAATAGCGTTTCGTTCCCAAAAGGAAAAAGGAAAATCGAAAAGCTATCTTCCTAGATTTGAATAAGGCATTTAAAACGGTCCCTATGCTTGTACATCATCTAAGCCGCAAAGTTATGATACCAAAGGAAAGGTTAGAATACTTACGCTATTGGAAGACTATAAATGCACTTAGGAAATTCACACTAACAAAACATTTGAGTTTAACGTTTGTACATATCAATTATGATATTAAAGGTGCTGATTAGAAATTGACGTTGTCGTAACGCAGTTCCAGAACACAAAAGTAGATATAAATGATGGAAAGTCATCGGGTTCTCATGTAAAAATAGGCATTGCCCAAAGCTCTATCTTAGCCCCGTTTCTATTTTTAATTTACTTATATAAATGATTAACCACTTTGGTTGTAAATAATGCTAGGATAAGCAATGAACGTTACCAAATTAACTAAAATATTGTTTTTAAAAATCTTTAATTTACGCATTTGCACGTCATAAACAATTTAATTAGATTAAACCTATCGTAACAGGAAATCGAAAGCAATCTTAATATCTGAAATTTGGATCTACAGGTCTTAAACTCTGATTATATTCCCTGATTATCAACTGATTTGCGACTTTTGATTGCAATATAATGAGTACGTCAAATGCACAATAAATAGAGCTTATCGATGTAATTATCGGAATTGAGAGGTACGACAAGCCACATGAGATTGGGCCCGGCGGGCTCCTTTCTCCTGGAAGAACCCGGATCCATCCCCCCATGAAATCTGTCGGGCTGATAAGCCGCTCAAAACACCATTCAGGATTGATCTATCAATATTTATTTATTTATTTATTATTCTTGGATATATTTATAACAACCGGACACTATGTTGTTTTAAAATTTCATGGTTATGTACATTACAATAATTATTGTGTGACCAATGAGCATTGCTTATATTTATCGTTTTCCTGATATTCATAAAGAAGGTAGAACGATATATCTGCCAATACCACCTAACCGCAAAATTTCATTTTCTTCATGATCACGGCGCTTGCAACAAATAATATAAAAAATAGTTTTACTTTACTACTTACGCGAGTACTTTATGAATGAATGTAATACTATAATACCCAGCACAAAAGTAAACTCAGTATGGCATGCACAGGTTTAATCAAGTTAGGTCAAGGGCGGCAAGGGGGATAGGATCGCGTATTAACGCATCCCTTCCTTCTGCGGGCCGACAGGACAAGGCTGACATCCCACCCGTATCCCGGCGAGAGTAGTTCGGTAGGACGGTCATATGTCTGGGAAAAGGCTATTATTCACCCAAGTCTTTTCTCTCCCGCAGAGGACGACTTCTCTCCCCCTCCCCTATAGAGAAGAGTCCCAGCGCGGATTGAAACCGGGCCCTTTCTAGCAGGATACCGAACTCATCCATCCGCGTGAGATGAGCTGCAGTGGATTTGTCAGGCAGGTCTGCCACATTAACCTGCCATTTCGGGGCGGGGTGACTAAAAAGCCCTGATTTGAGGCTGGGGTGTATTTCCCCTGCTTTATCAAAAAAAGGTTATATCATTATTCAACCAATATAATTTGTAAACCAAAGAAAAAAATGTACTACCCATTTAGAACGTCATTTACCTATTACAACATTTATATAAATTATACCATTTGCAAACATATTGTAGACACGAAATCATAAAAATATTAGTAATAATACGAAAATTAAATTTGTAGTTCCCTATAGTAGATAATAATTGTATGACGATGTATATTATTGTTGATGTTGTTTCATGAAATAGAAACATGACCTATCCTCAGCCGTGACTTTTATCACACGTTCTTATCGTACGTGATACATTTATAATTGCTTATCGATAGCAATCTCTTTAAAACCGGTTCGAACATAGATATAATTCTAATATTCGATTCCGTTCGTGGGCCTTTCTACTTTTAGTGCAGGGTTTTATACCAATATCATACCACTGTCAGCGACGTGCATATATTTTTCTGAAAATAAATGCTAATTTTGTGATCGTATAAAATACGGGTACGATCAGCTGTGGGATTCCCGGCAGACTAACTAAGAATAGAGTCGAACCACTCGACGGCGCTCAACTCAACTAATCTTTAGTTGGTTCTCCTCGGTAACGTTTGCGGGAGTATCGCGGGGGCAAATTACGTTTATCTAAAGTAATAATATGTGAAATTGATTACTTATCTGTCATCAAAAGGTAATATATGTTTTATTTTAATGACCATCTATGCTGTGAGTTGTGGCAACCCACCTCCTTTTATTACAGAATAGCATAGCTGAGTGAAGTGTATAATTGTCATTAAATTTCTCAAGTTGATTATGCTGAAATCGACATTGGGATTCGCTACTATTACTGGCAACTGCATTAAACCTATAAACGTGAAAATATTTTCTCCCGGCTTTTTAACCTTGTGCCGAATTTTTCACCTTTTTGTAACAAGATTTTAAAAGTTGAAATTCTTCAAAACGAAACGTCAATGCAAAATAGCTGAAAAGAACATATTACTAATCTGTTACTTTTACCAACAGCTACAGTTAAAGAAATTTTATTGCAGAATTTAAACTTAGTACCTATATGCACGACTGGTGTACGATATTTGATTGGATGCTCAGGTAGATCGTATATGCCAGGACTTTAAATTATCAGCTAAAAGCAATATGCAAATCCTTTGATGGTTGGAAGATATTTCAAATTTCTTGGCAACACGCGTCAAAGTTAGCTTCGAACGTAGAAATTCCCGTGTCGTAACTTCACACATCTTTTGTATACTCGTCAAGTATTCCGATAGGTAAATGTCAGTTTGTTCCATATATTTGTAACGAGCTATGCAGCTTTCATATCCACCTGATACATTAGAATACCTTCTTGATGATATACTTGTTTCCGTACTAATGTTTACAACAAAAAGTGAACGTGTAACTGAAATTACGTGCATGAAAATATAATTTACTGTACATATTATATTAGTATAAGTCTTGTTCGCTAAGTTTATTTCCTTTCAGATAATAATTGATAATGTTTTTATCCATCTAAGGTCCATTCGTCTTCAAATGAAAGAATTTTGATTAAAAAAAAGTCATTCCTAGTCTTTCTAAAACACAACTGACGCCACTCTCAACTCGACTCTAACGCCGATTTCGATATACAATTATCTTTGAGGTCACAGACCAGGTTTGATTACCGATCAGCTTAATGTTGGTAGGAATTCTGTTGTACAAACTAGTCTTAATTTAGTTTAAGTTCTAACAAACTGCGTTTTCAATCATGTCAATAGCTAACAGGAATGAACAATATAGTGTACAGCGATATAATCATATTTCTTTGATTCATTCTTATGTGCCTCATTATAATTTGAGTTTCTTTTAACGTAATTCATCTTCAGAATAATTTAAAAACTAACCCAATTTAAAATTAGTACATCATAATATAACAGAATAAGCACCACTTGTTTGATATGGGTGTTGTCATACCTTATTTATGTCTGATTTCCAATAAAAATGTTATAGTTACTTAATTTAGGATGCAAGCAATGCATATGATGTTGTCTTATATTTTACTCATTTTTGCAGGTTCCTTCCACCGGGAAGTTATCTCAACGCACGCGAACTTGGACCGAAGAAACTTCTGGAGAGAATGAATGAAATCTACAACGACAAAGAGAAATTCTACAGTTTCTTCAAATGGAGGAATCATTACAGATACGAACACTCGTTGGCCAGAGACGTGTGTGATTTGTGCAGTGCTCTTAACGACGACACTAAAATGAGACCATACACGCATCGTGATTTGAGGAAATGGTGGAATGGAGAAAGGTGGGATGGAGAAGAAATCACGTGTAGACGTACAGAAGAGAGAAAGTAGATACCTAAATAACACAAACACGATGATGATGAGAAAAAAGAATAGTTATCACAAAGACATAAATTAACAAAGTGGTAAAATCATTACATTAATGATTGTAACGTTTTGAAGAATTAAGCTATTGTATATTCAATTTAGCTATTGTATAGAGTAGCTCAGTGGCGTAGTGGATAAGCGCCGCGGCCCGCGATCGTAATCGTTAATCAACTTTCGCAAGGGTCGGTCACGGGATGGGTGACCAAAAATTATTATCTCGAGCTACTCCGTGCTTCGGAAGACACGTTAAGCCGTTGGTCCCGGCTGCATTTGCAGTCGTTAATACCCTCCAATCCGCATTGGGCCAGCGTGGAGGGTCAAGGCCCATCCTCCTTAACCATCCATAAGGAAGGCCTGAGCCCCTGCAGTGGGGACGCAAAAGGGCTGGTGATGTGGTGATGTGATGTGATACTCAATTTAGTACATTCCAAACTCAAGGCCAAAATCCTAGGTAGCACTTTGACCTTGCTCACCTCACAGTGACATCAGTTAGCAAAAAAAAGCTTTATCCTCCGATCCTACCGAGTTTACTCGTATTCAATCAAAATACACTCAGCTTATTGTTAGATACGGCGTGGTGTGTACGTTCAATACATCGGATTGAATCAAATGCACTTAAAGTTCATTGTGTGCATTTTGATTGAATCCAATGTCAATCAGATCGATATCAGTCGAATAAAGCGGTAGGCTGGTTTCAAACAAGAGTCTTGTCTCAAACAATAAAATTCAGTTTCGGCTGTTGTCGCCATCAGTTCGTAAATCCTATATAACTGTACTTAACGCTTTGTTCTGTATAGTATAATGAACCACCAAGGTCAACACTGACTCACAACAATACCATTGCTAAAAAAAAATGCCCGCTAACATGAATAGAGTTTTTCTATAGATGTAACGCGATCGGTATCGAATTGATTTTCGGATTAAATTGATTGGTTCAATCCGTTCGTGTCACTCAAGTCCACCGATGTTCATAGATGTAATGCGCGCGTAGGAGCAAATTATTGCCAAATTACTTTATAATTTAAAGAATATATAGAATTGTTGTTCGTAATAAAAAAAGCAATTGAATATAAAAACGGACTACTTTAATTAGGTAGTTACTATTTAATTATTATTTACAGAAATTTCGCAAAATCAAGCAAATCCGTAAACCGATCAAGAATTTCCCGGACATAGAATCAATTTCAAAATTTTCCCTTATCGAGAATAAGTTGAGACTGAAATTCCATATTCCATATTAGGAATTTTATTACTTATTTATTTTCCTATTAGTTATCTACAAATTGTGTCTTATAATTTTAAGTTATTATTGTATAAGGATATTCCCCTACTTACTCGTACACGTATTCGATGGATAAATTCTGATCTATTAAATATATTTAAATAAAGAGTAAGTTTTATAAAGAATATAAACAACATTAAAATATTAATAAGATGATTTGCCATAAGTACATTTATTCATACAACAGCACATCAGGTGAAGCTTAAAACTTAAATGACCATGTACCTATTAAAACTTAAAATACTGGTAGGTTGGAGCAATACAGACACTCTCAACTTACTATTAAACGTAAAGTCTTTAGTAGAGTTGAATTCAAAATACACGGCGGTTAACCTATTATTTTGCCGTATGTATGAACAAGCTACACAAAACCTCCGCGTCACTTCAATGGAAGTTTCTCCTTTAATATGTGTATTTTTCACGTTTGTGAAGCGGTTTCATACGTTCTTTTGGCACACAACTTTATGCGCTAGCACCAGTTGTATTGTATGTTTGGAAAAATTGTTTCAATCTTGTACACAGCTGGTTTCTTAATCGCGAAAAGTAAATAATCTCAACTGATAATTCTCAATAACTTGAGTTTTTTACGTTTCACATAGCAACAAGTCTTGGTTTATCAAATAATCATTAAAAAAACTAAAATCAGGAAAGAAAACCTAAGAACAGTTTGAGACGTTGTTTTTTTTTTAATCTCAATTAAGTAACCTGGTGTGATGATGTGTTCTATGAGGACATCCTTGTTACACGGTATGCCAAAGTTATCCAAAGTTGAACTTACTCATGATTTAATCAATCCGTTTGTAAAATTAGATTCAAAACATTTATGTGGTAACTAACGTTTCTGTGATAGAACTTGTTTCTGGAATAATTATATTACGTGCATAGAACTTAGATAATTAAGTGAATGTTATTATAATATAACCATGTAAGAAAATAAAGATTTATTTTATTATTGTAAGGAAATGTTTTAATTAGATCCTATGCAGTAAAAAAATAACCGACAGTGTTATTCTGTTAAATAAACAGCGACGAACACTGGTTCAATGCAATAAAACTGACTTCTAAATGTAATGAAGGTTTGAACCTCTATTTTGTCGCTGTATTTTATCAGAATAGCTAATTAAGCAGGAGGTCGAAAAAGGCGGCTGATTTTAGGGGCGACGAATTCGAAACGAAATGTTAAGTTAGTAAGTGCAAAGAGATAAAAGACAATTCATGTTTGCATCGTAAGGTATTTTAAATAGCCTCATCATCAGCATCAGCCTAATCTGCTGGCGCTACTGATCTAGTGCCGGAGTGACTATGGGTGGAATCAAGTAGAGGGAATAGACCATAACTTTAACGAATTGTAACCTTAAACTTTTGATAATTAAATTTAGCGTTTTGTGGTACCAATATGAGCAGCCCTTTTTTTAACTGACTTCAAAATCGAAAAGGAGGTAATAATATTCGACGGCGATGTATGTTTTTCAGGTTCATGAACCGAGGAGGTCCAATTAAAATTTTATCGAAATCGAATCAGTAGTTTTCCTTTTATAACGAAACAAAATACGCTTTTCATCAGATATTAAGATGATATGTTTATTTCCTCAAATGAAATTATTTCAGTTAAAAAATAAAGTATTTCGTTCTAAATCCGAAAGAAGGATTTTCTATGTTCAATGAATATGTATTTTTTTTATGATAGTAGGTATGTTCATCGATTTCTTCTTGAAGCCAGTTCCCCGCGACTTCTGACAGGCTGCTCAAAAAAAAATTTAATAAAATTATAAGAACGTTTTGAATTTACCCGAAATTTTGTTTTCGGAGAAAAAGAAGTGAGTATGTGTATGGTTTATAAATATATAGATAATATATAACGTAGTCAATCTAGTAGTTCTTAATTCTAGAAGTAGTTAAAAGTTCTTTCTGTATTTTTAATAATATTATTATTTTAGTAATAGCTGCGGAATGTCAAAAGGGATGTAATACATTATAGATTTAAGCACAGACTTAAATTATTGACGTTCTGAGAACGAGGGTAATGTTGTGTATACGTCTCACCCAACGTAGACTTGGGCCAGCTCATTAACAATAATATATTATGTCATTTATTACAAAGAACTATGGGTACATGTGTTATATATCCATATGAAGGTTGGCATTCGTTTGAGAGACGTAGTGTCAACTGAGCGTGGTCCAAGAATTCGTTATCCTTATAACAACTAATTAGATTATATCAGTAATTAATATGTGTTAAATACCTAATACTTGTCGAAAGTTATTAGGATTCGCCTTTTGCCCACTAAGAATTACCAAAATATTTAAGGAATAAATCAATTCCCTATGATGTTGTCTTAAAGGCAGCCAATCCGATATATACTAAAACTTATATTATAATTAATGAGGAAAGATTTGATTGTTTGTTCACAACGAAGCGGCTCCGAAGCTACTGGACCAATTTTAAAAATTCTTTCACCTACGGGAAGCTACATCACACGCACAGGACATAGGCTATAATTTATTCAAGTGAAGTCGCAGGAAAACTTCTAGTGTATGTATACAAAGATTAACATTTTTTTTCAAATTATATTTTTCTTTAAAATGCCAACTTTCCTAAATAAAATGTAAATTCCAAAGTCCTTTTAACAAAAGTTAGATATTGTTCAAAATTGCCCAATTAAAATTCTTAGAATGGCACAATTTAGTTAACTAATAGCTTCGGCAACATTTAATGGACTTTTACAAAGGCCCGGTAAAATCACTCTTTAGCAATTAGGTATCAATATATCAACAATAATGGAACGACAATAATAATTCGTGATTGTAGAGTAATTCAATAGCTCTTACCGCAAATTTGTATACAATAATTCCTTAGCCTATGTGTATTTGCTGTTTCTCTTTGAGAACTTCATCAAAATTCAAATTTCCAATTCAAATATTGCCCAAATTCTGCCTTGCTACGCTACGTAGAGCACAACGCTTAGAGGTTCAATCAAGGAAAATATATGACCTTCTTGACTTCAATTTAATAAAACCACAAGATGACTTCAAAAGGCAAGTGAGATTTTCTTTGATTGAACTTCGATGGTGGCGTCGTACAGGAGTAACCGTAACTCTCTAGCCATGATTCTAGTCAAAGAATACGACATATTTCACTACTTTGACATGTACTTTAGTAACTTGACAGCAGTGTTACCAACTTAGGCATTCATCCCAAATTTACCCACCAAACGATATGTCACAGTAGTAACGGAATATAGTCATAACATCGCTAAGATGTCGGATCCTGTGGCTAGAATCAAAGCTAGAGAGTTAGGCGTTCGTCCGGCTGGACACTGCGTTCCACCCCAACTAGCAAATTTTATTGTACAAAGCCAGCAGCACGTTTTTATTTCAGCTTTTGTTGGAGAGAAGGATCTTTATTACGTCGCATAAACGATCAGTGCACTTTTACTCAACGCGATTTGGGCGCACTTCTCTCAGCTGTAAATGCTGTAATATCGTCGAAAGTCGAAAATTGCAGAGTAATTGCAATTTGAATATATTAAAAATACTATTATGGACATCATTACACTGTTATACCTATTACATTAAGTACTGATGTAGAAACTGAGATGCTTTGTCAAAAAAACAACTTTTACTCTACTGCTGTAATTAAACGTCGAAATATATACTATAAAATAAATAATTTAAAGAAAAACAAAATCCCGACTGCGTAAAAATGAATTTTAAAAAATACATGAAAAATTAACTTAATCGCGGCCCATTCAAATTTTACCAATCAAATCTTCCCAGGGAGCCCCGACTATGAGTCGTTCTGTTCTGTATTACTTAACAGAATTCTAAACTACTGGGCTTGTTTCTTTCTTTTTAGTTTTTATTTAAGTTAATTTTTTCATGTATTTTTTTTAAATTCGATTTACGGACTCGGGTTTTTTTGTTTTTCATTAAATTATTTATTTTCATTTTATACTTTTATTCGTTGACTTCATTATAAGATGGTCAATTTCGCAATCAAGTTATTTCATTGAGGGAGTTAATATCGTGGAGATTATTAAGTAACTTGCGGTGGTCTAACCTACTGATGATTAGTCCCTCTAGAGAGCTAACTCGGCTCAAAGCTAAGTACATATGCTTGACCTTTAGCAAAACCGCGTGAACTTAAGTTAATCACAGCTCGGTCCAAATTAGTTCCTTGGAGTTTGTGTAGTTACACCCCAGCACAATATCAATGGCAACATTTTTCGCTCTATTTTACCCTGTCCGCGAAGTGCATCGAATTCTGTCGTCGATGGTTCGATTCTGACTCCTACTCTAGGAACATTGTTTTTAATTGGTTTGTCGTCAAATTCTATATAAACAGTCTGTGGCAATTCTCCGGGTTCCAGTTGGTCCCTCCGAAGAACTGGCCACTCATTTGCCCTTATAATACCCATCGCTCCGTTAACAAGACTTCTTTTTCATGCTTTTTCACT